ATGTTCCTTCATCGTTTGAGCCTCGTTATACATGGACTCGGTGAACGAGGGCGACTCAGTGATGTCTATCACACTATGTGCTTCCTTTGGGGTATTTCACACATCCCGAAAAGCTTCGTCAACGGCCTCCTCGTCGGCTTCCCTAACTTGAGGAAAATCGGCCTCGCCTCTCTTCGGTCTGGAGGCCCCTTACCTCTCGAGTTGCGATGACATGCAGGCCATCAGATCGAAGTCTTCTCCTTCTTCTTCGGATTCGTCCCTCAACCGATAGAGTGAATCCGAAGATGGTGCTTGAGCGCTTGTACCTTCTTTGGATTTGCGCACCAACCTTCTCCTGGATGTTCCTTCATCGTTTGAGCCTCGTTATATATGGACTCGGTGAACGAGGGTGACTCAGTGATGTCTATCACACTATGTGCTTCCTTTGGGGTATTTCCCACATCCTGGAAAGCTTCGTCCATGGCCTCCTCGTCGGCTTCCCTAACTTGAGGAAAATCGGCCTCGCCTCTCTCCGGTTCGGAGGCCCCTTACCTCTCGAGTTGCGATGACACGCGGGCTATCAGATCGAAGTCTTCTCCTTCTTCTTCGGATTCGTCCCTCAACCGATAGAGTGAATCCGAAGATGGTGCTTGAGCGCTTGTACCTTCTTTGGATTTGCGCACCAACCTTCTCCTGGATGTTCCTTCATCGTTTGAGCCTCGTTATATATGGACTCGGTGAACGAGGGTGACTCAGTGATGTCTATCACACTATGTGCTTCCTTTGGGGTATTTCCCACATCCTGGAAAGCTTCGTCCATGGCCTCCTCGTCGGCTTCCCTAACTTGAGGAAAATCGGCCTCGCCTCTCTCCGGTTCGGAGGCCCCTTACCTCTCGAGTTGCGATGACACGCGGGCTATCAGATCGAAGTCTTCTCCTTCTTCTTCGGATTCGTCCCTCAACCGATAGAGTGAATCCGAAGATGGTGCTTGAGCGCTTGTACCTACTTTATCATTGTTTATTTCAATTGCAATTTAATTTATCACTTTGTATCAAGTTAATCTGTTTATCCTTAAAACCACTTACAAATTCAATTATTATCCGATTTTGAGGGTAAACACGTTAATTACCCCCACTACTAATAGTGGTTGTATTGGTTTAAACTGTCAGGGTAACTTCCCTGTGACCTTCCAATCTTATCCCTTTTCTAAACGGATCGGGTTAGTCCACATGGGCGACCCACGACCCGAACTCAAATTACCAACAATATGAAATCACTTTTATGTGTTTTGAATATATGTAATAATTATTATGATAAGAAATAAATTAAATTAATTTTACTGTTCTTTTAAAAGAATTCGTATGATCATATATTGACATAATATAAAACTTATTTCTAAATTTTTAATTTTGGAAAAAGAACCAAATTTATCCATTTTTAATTTACGAAATATCTTAATTTTATCGTCTATTATACTTTGTAGACATTTATACCATTGTGGTTAGCAAATCATACTTTTTCTTTTACATATACATACATACATACATAGAGATGATAAGCAAAATGAAGCTAATAGTGAATATAAATATAAAAAATAATATTGCTTGCTATTATAAAGTTTTGTTTTTAAAATTTTAATACCGCTACGTGCTCTACTGAAATCAACGCGTTTTGTTGTGTTTGTTTGATAAGAAAGCAGGAAAGCATGGAAGTGAAAGGGACACATTGATTTTGTTGCTTTTTGAGATTTACGAGCTGTCGCTGACTAATTGCATGATACAAAGAGGCGTTATTGCATGTGCCACCGTCAGTATATTTTTCATTTTATATATGTCAGTTTTTTTTATAAAATTATGTGAATATGTATATTGTTGAAACTGCTTAAAAATAATACTAAATTAAGTATAATACGAGACATAAGTTAAAATCTTAAAACAACCACAATTTCAGATCGAAACTATTTAATAGAAATTATGACAATAAATCAACACCACTTAAACAAAATTTTGTAAGCCATTGATGCGGTCTTCAAGCCATCCCGGTCGGAGAAAAAATTACCAAGCGCTTAGCATTCCTTCATGCTTGCCGTCGGTGGCGGAGCCATATGCACTCAAGGGGTGTCAACCGACACCCATTCGTCAAAAAATTATATTGTTTAGCTCGGTAATTTTTTTAAAATATGTATATATACTATATAATGACACTCATTGACTTCTTGGTGAGTTTATTTTTTTATATTTTGACTTTTCTTAATGAAAATTATGGCTCTGTCGCTGCTTGCCGCCAATGAGGTTCCGTGTGATTGGTGCGCTTCCTCTCTCGCATTCGCCTCCCCCAACTCGTCTCTCTCTCGCATGAACATGTACATACAGTTATAGTGAGTTTAATTGGAAGCATTATTTTCACTTATATGAAATTTGTATATAAATTGTAAAAAAATATGATGTTTATTATAGACTCAACTTTTTTGAACCTTAACCCTAAATCTTGAAACTGCATCAAAAGGGTCCTATTTTTAGCCGTATTGAAGTCCCGAGTCTATTTTAGAGTTGTACTTCCAGCTAGATCATATTTTTAGGCGTCAAGGGGAAACTATTGATTTTCTTGTAAACATTTTTTTTATTAATAATGACAATAAAATTTAATTACCATTTATATTTCTGTATGATTTATCTACTTTTTCTTTTGCAGTGACGAAGCTAGAAAATTTAATAAAGATGTTCAAATTTTGAACATCCTTTTGCCAGTGGGCTATGCAAGGGTGTTCAATGTTTATTTTTTAATCAATAACAAGTAATATTTTATCATATGCAGTTAGACCTCTCTATAACAACATTCTTATATAACGGTCATTCACTATAAAAGCCAAGTTTTCCTTTGAACCGATTTTTTATGTTATATTTCACCTCTCTATAATAACTTTTTACTTATAACAACAACAACCATATTTATAGCAGGACGCTCTTTGTAAAATTACCTCTCTATGACAGCCATATAGAATCTTTAAGGTTACTAATAATAATTATAAAACTATGCACACAATATTTTCTATTGAACAAAGTTTCTATTTTGCATAAGACATAAGATTTTCGAGATTTGCACATGATATCTTTTCCGATAGAAAATTTAACTGTTAAATTCTTAGATTGTCTTCAAGAGAAAGCTATTGAATACCTTTTTGCTGAAAATTTGGACATAAATCTTCGCCAATTCCAGCTTATATAGCTACGAAACAAGATACAATTACAAAATTCTTCCATTAATCTTGAAAGAATTTATTTTCCTTTAGCTTTAAAATGTGTGTCTTATAGTTTAAATCTTTATATGTTTAGTTATAAATTTATTAATAATGTATTAGTTTTCTTCAATATTTAACAAGTAAATATGCATATCTTTTGAAATTTTAAATTTGAATAATTTTCTTATCTTTTATAGGTAACATTGGAAAAGGAAAAATAGTTAATTTTTGGATAAATCTTATTTATAACGACCAAAAGATATTTAAACCTCAAATGCTGTTATAGGTATATAACAGTCATTCACTATAAAAGCCAAAAAATATCGGAACAAACAAGACTTTTATAGAAAGGATTAACTGTATATAGTATAATTTTTCGGAGGAGAGTGTTCAATTGACCACTTTTGGCCATACATAGCTTCACCCAGCTCCTCTGCTCATAAATTTTGGAAAAGGATAGAAAACAAGATAAGGAATATCTTTAACGAGGTAGATAGAAAATTTGGTACAGTCGCTACAAGTATAATGTGTTTTAGGAAAAAAAAAAAATTTGAACAAGAAAATCACGTTACTGGATGCAAAAAGAAAAAGAAAATCACGTTACTGGTTTTCCTCTAGAGCTTATGAATCACTGCCAATTGAATGGATTGTAACATTTTAATAACTGATATTTATAAAATTCGAAAAAGGACCAAAATATCCTTTGTACTATCGAAAATAATTTAAATATATCATTATTTTTACTATCCGGTCAATTTGACACATATACCCCTAATTTAACGGAGTGCCATGTGACAACTCAGGAACAAAAGCCCCAATTTTAATACTTGAATCCAATTTAAACCTACCCCCATTTTGTACGTTATGTGTATTATGGGTGTACAAAGAAAACCGACAAACTGCACCAAATCGATAATCCGAGTCAAATACGAGAAACAAAAACCAACTATGGTTTGGTTTGATTTGGTGTTAGGAAAACAAACCGACCATAATTGGTTTGATTTTAATTAAAAAATGTCAAACCGAAACCAAACCAATCCGACATTAAATGTATACAAGTTTTTAAAATATTTTATACATAAAAATAATTATTGTAATGTAATTTACAAATATTTTTTAAACTCTTTAATAGTTAGATCTTTTAATGTATTATTTCAAGCTTGGACTTAGAACTTTTTGAATGGTCAAATGTGTTTTATATAGCCCATAAAAGTTAGTACCTCAAATAAAGCCGAAAGCAAAATCAAATCATTATTAATGCTAACAAAAAAAATTCAATTCAATAGAATGACAATAGTATTGGATATTTATTTCTTTAATTTTGTATTAGTTTAGATAGTAAAAATGCATAACTTAATTTTAATATTATTTAGTCATGTAATTAATACTTAGTAATTATTAGTCGTATTTATTTTAACATGACTTAGTACTTTTAGATTATAATTATTTTTATTAAGGCTTATTAATTAGCAATATTTATCTTATGCGATTTGTTGAGTATTTTAGTATAATCATGACTCATTTCACATTATTTTGTATTATTTTATTGGGTAACATCTTATATAGTTTTATCCTAATAGGACCTAAGAAATATTAGAGCACAAATTATAAATTTTATGCTATGAAGATTTTGTCGAGAAAAAACCCGAAAACCCCAAAAAACCCGAGAAAAATCGCGATTGAAAAACCCCACTTTTGTTGGTTTGGTTTGGTTTGGTTTATAGATTTAAAAATCCGAGACAATTGATTTGGTTTGGTAATTGAAAAATCCGAACCAACCTGGTCTATGTACACCCCTAGTGTGGATGTTACAGTATGTCCAGTAATACATTGAAGATACAAATTACATACTCTCAACATCCAAAATACATACAAACGACACACAAAATAGGGGTGATCTACTCTCAATCCCACTATTGCAGAGAGGGCAAAACTGTGGTACATCCATCTCCCATTATTGCAGAGAGGGCAACACATTTCCTCACAAGTTTACCTTAAAAACAGTTTGCTCAATAATCTTCTTCAACCTTTTCCACAACTTCCTCTACTGCTTCTCCATAATCTCCGTATTAATGTATCTGTCTGTACAATGGCCAAAACACATTTCCTCACAAGTTTACCTTAGAAATATTTAATAAAATGTGCAAAATCATTCTTATACACTCTTTTACTGAACCTATATATCATAACAAAAGTCCCTGACATGATAATAGACTTTACGAAATATTCAATTTCCTCTAGTTGAATTTGATGTTATAGTAGTTATGCACAAAAGAATTATATAATTTAACACAGTTCATCACAAGTCAAACATATAATGGATGTTGAAGATTCATTCAAATTACTTACCTCTAATTGTGTCAAAGGCATAAACTTTAAGCATGTCGCTTCCCAAACTCTCTAATTGCTCTTTCTGGATCTGCTCAGCAAAAGTCACAAGGGAAGGATGACATCCATGTAACTCAATTTGCTGTAGTGTCACACTATCTGTGAATCCTTGAGGAATCTCATTTAAGTACCTACAATTTCTAATAATTGCGCGGTCAAGGCATGGGAAATAATCATCAGCGGCTCTCCAGTAAACAAGATTCAACTCCTCAAGGAGCAGGAATTTTAGTTCAGGAAATCCCATCTCTGTTACTTCCCATGCTATTCTTAAACGAAAGGCTCCGTTCTTCAATTGAAGCACGTTGAGTTTGGGCAACATGCTAATGGTTGTCATTGTTGCGGAAGCCAAATGTATATAGTGTGAATGAGTCACAACTACTATACCAAAAATTATGACAACCACTAAATAATAAACAAGACAATAAGACAACAATAAAAGAACACCAGAATTTACGAGGTTCGGCCAATTTTGCCTACTTCCTCGGACACAATCAATATTTTATTCCACTCCAAAATTACAAGTGAAATAATACTAAAGAGAGAAGATACAAATGTCTTAAGAAGATAAAAAAAGGCAAATGAGAGGTGTATTTAAATCCTAAACGTTAGGCCTCCTTTTATAGGGTGAAATTCCAATTCAAAATTGTCATCCACCGATGTGGGACTTTTGGCAATTTCAACAAATCTCCACCTTGGCAAAATTACACATCTGCAATTTTCTCTCAATAACAAATTTTGGTTGTGTCTTCATCTTCAATCTTTAGTGTTCAGCAATGTTGATCAAATCCAAACAATGTTGAAACTTGACCGCAGTCACCACTTTTGTCAGCATATCA